GCAAATCTCAAAATGCAAACGGGGGCGGAGGGAAGGGCAAAATACCAATAACCACAAGACTTGTGTGAGATGAGCATCCTTTTGGGAGACAGAAAGAAGCAACGGTGTAGCTTCTGATTGAATCTGAGAACAGGAGAGCCCCAAAATAGCCAACTGGCGCACTGAAACTCAGTGGGCCAATTTGAGAACAGCGGCGGAAGGTGAAGGCGCTTCGCCTGCTCTAACACCTGGGAAGTGCAAAGAGCTTTCAATAAGAAGGATTAAAGGCGCCAGCCCTTTGAACTCTAGAAATTGACCTGCCAGAACTGCCTTCTAGGACAGGGCCTTACCCTGAGGAGAAATTGCTGGGAATGGAATCAAAATTGAGCAGGGTAAGGACAAGAGAAAGGCCCAGTTCAAAGGAAGGGAAGAGCAGCCAGGAAATCTCAGAAAGCAAGCTCTCATACTTTTTTTTTTTTTTGAATACTTCACAAAAACAACAGAAGAGGGAGCTCTGTGAAGTTAGAGCCTTTTAAAATTCAACCTGCTTTATTCTCAGTTTAGGAAAACTCATTTTACATAAAAATGTACAGAAAAGAATCATCAAGTCCCATACAAAATTATTATAAGAAAAAATGGAATTAAGAATATAATAATATCCTGGTAGATAATAAAAGCATTCCAGAAAGATGCGCTCACAAAACAGATCAAAACGAATTTACTGTTTCAAAATGAACTGAAAGACATTAAGAAAATTAAGACATGAAAGAACAACATAAGTCACAATTAGAAAACTCAGAAAATGAGGTGACAATTCAGGAAAGAATTTTAAAAATCGACAAAATTTCAGAAATGAAGACATTTTAAACTAGGAAGAACAAAAGAATGAACAAACAACATATAATGCCTTAAGAAAAATATGAGGCAAAAAGAAGATACTTAAAACGTTTTTTTAAATTAAGACAGTGTAGTTTCAGGTTCACCACAAAACTGAAGGGAAGGTACAGAGGTTTCCCATAGACCCTCTTGCCCCCTCCCCCCATACAATCTTCCCCTCTATCAACATCCCCCACCAGGGTGGTATGTATGTTACAACTGATGAACCTACTTTGATATCTATCACCTGACGTCCATAGTTTGCGTAATGGTTCACTCTTGGTGATGTGCGTTCTATGGATTTGGACAAACGTATGATGACCTGTAACCATCGTTATAGTAGCATGCAGAGTGTTTTCACTGCCCCTAAACTCCTCTGTGCAGTGCCTGTTCATCCCTTCCTACTCCCCATGTCACCACACGCACCTGTCATTTTGCTGTTTCCATTGTTTTGCTTTTTTTTAGAATGTCATATGGTTGGAATCACACACGTAGCCTTTTTAAATTGTCATCTTTCACTTAGTAACTTGGATTTAAACTTGCTCCATGTCTTCATGGCTTGATAGCTCCTTTCTTTTTAGCACTGAATAATCTTCCATTGTCTGGATGTACCACAGCTCACTCAAGGACATCTTGGTTGCTTCCGAGTTTTGGTAGTTATGAATAAGGCTGCTATAACTATCCATGCATAGGCTTCTGTGTAGACAGCAGTTTTTAACTCATTTGGATAAATACTAAGGTGCACAATTGCTGGATTGCATGGTAAAACTATGTTTAGTTTGGTAAGAAATTGTTAAACTGTCTTCTAAAGCAGCTGTGTCCTTTTGCATTGCTGTGAGCAATGAATGAGAGTTCCTGTTGCTCCACATCCTCCTCAGCATTCGGTGTTGTCAGTGGTCCAGATTTTGGCCGTTCTAGTAGGTGTGTAGTGAGTAATATCTCGTTTCTATTTTTGCATTAACCTGATGACATATGATGTGGAACATCTTTTCATGTTTATTTACCATCTCTATCTCTCCTTTGGTGAGGTGCCTGTTAAGGTCTTTGGCCCATTTTTAAATTAGGTCGTTTATTTTTTCTTGTTGTTTTATGAGTTCCTTGTATATACTGGATAACAGCCCTTTCTCAGATATTCTTTTGCACATTTTCTCCCAGTCGGTGGCTTGTCTTATCCTCTTGTCTTATCCTCATTACATTTCACAGAGCAGAAGTTTTAAATTTTAATGAGGTTCAGCTTATCAATTCCTTCTTTCATGAATCATGCTTTTGGTATTGTATCTAAAAAGTCATTGCCATAACCAAATTTAGCTAGCTTTTCCTCCTATGTTGTCTTCTAGGAGATTTATAGTTTTTTATTTTATATTTAGGTCTGTGATCTATTTTAAGTTAATTTCTGAGAAAGGTGTACGGTTGGTGTCTACATTTTTTTTTTTCTTTCACATGCGGATGTCCACTTGTTCCGGTGGATTTAATTTGCTCTTTTCTTTTTTTCTATTTTCCTAAGATGGAAACTTAAGTGACTGGTTTTAGATCTTCTTTTCACATCTTTCTTCTTTTCAGATGTATTTTTCAATGCTATAAATTTCTAAGCACTTTTGCTGCATTCCACAAATTTTGAATAATTGTATTTTTATTTAGTTCAAAATATTTTAAAATTACTCTTGAATGTCTTCTTTAATCCATGGGTTATTTAGAAGTGTTTTGTTTGTTTATTTAATATCCATGTATTTTGGCATTTTCCAGTTGCCTTTCTGTTACTGATTTCTACTGTAGTTTAAAAGTCGACATTGTATGATTTCTATTCTTTTAATTTTCTTAAGATGTGTTTTATTGTCCAGAATATGGTCTGTCTTAGTGAATATTCCATGCAAGCTTGAGAAGAATGTATATTCTGCTGCTGTTGGAAGAAACAATCTAGAAATGTTTATTATATCCAATTGATTGATGGCGTTGTTGAATTCAGCTATGTCCTTACTGATTTTCTGCCTGCTGGATCTGCCCATTTCTCATAGAAGGATGATGAATTCTCCAAACATGTTAGCGGATTTTCTTTTTTTCTTTGCAAGTCTATTAGTTTTTGTTGTTGTTGTTGTTGTTTTTGTTTGTTTTTGCCTCATGTAGTTTGATGTTCTGTTGTTAGGCATAGGCTCATTAAAGATTTTTATGTCTTCTTGGAAAATTAGTATAACTACTTTCTTTTAATTAGTGTTAGTTAGCCTGGTGTATTTTTTCCATTTACTCAGTTTTAATCTATATGTGTCTTTATGTTTTTTGTAGACAACATATAGTTGGTTCTTGTTTTTTGATTGACTCTGATAATTGTCTTTTAATTGATGCATTTATACCATTGACATTCAGAGTGACTATTGATATAATTGGGCTAATATCAAACATATTTATTACTGTTTTCTATTTGTTCCCCTTGTTCTTTATTCCTATTTTTGTCTTTCACTCTTTTTCTGCCTTTTGTGGTTTTAATTCAGCATTTTATATGATTTGATTTTCTCTCCTTCTTAACATATTAGTTATACTTTTTTAAAAACCTTTTTTAGTGGTAACCTTACAGTTTGCAATATACACCTACAATTAATTCAAGTCCACTTTCAGATAACATTGTAATGCTTCACAGGTAAGGTGAATATGTTACAATAACAAAATAATCCAAATTTCTTCCTTCTGTCCCTTTCATTATTACTGTCATTCATTACACTTATATATAAGTATACATAAGCATACATAAGCATATATATCCCTAAGCACCTTTCATTGAATACATCGTTGGTATTATTTTGAACAAAATATTGTCAGATCAATTAAGAATGAGAAACTAAAGCTTTTATTTTACCTTCACTTATTCCTTCTTTGATGTTCTTTGTTACTTTATGTGGATCTGAATTTCTGGCCTGTATTATTTTCCTTTTTTTTCTAAAGATCTTGTTTAAAATTTCTTGCAAGATAGGTTTACTGGCAACAAATTTCCTCAATTTTTGTTTGGGAAAGTTTTTTCTCCTTCACTTTTGAATGTTAATTTCTCAGAACACAAATTTTAGGTCTTTTTTTTTTTCCTTTCAACACTTTAAATATTTTACTCCACTCTCTCCTTGCTTCCATGATTTCTGAGAAGCAATCAGGTGTGATTCTTATCTTTGTTCCTCTATAGATAAAGTATTTTTTACCTCAAGCTTCTTTTGGAATTTATCTTTGATTTTCTGTAGTTTAAAATGATATGCTTAGGTGTAGTTGTTGTTGTTGTTTCAAGTTTTTTTCCTCTGGATCTGTGGTTGATATCTGACATTATTTTGGGGAAATTCTCAGTCATGATTTTTTTTCAAATATTATCTCTGTTTCCTTCTTTCTTCTCCTCTTGGTATATCCATTACACATAAATATAATTTACGTGTTTTGCAGTTATCCCGCAGTCTTTGGATATTCTATTCTGTTATTTTCAATCTTTGATCTCTTTGCTTTTTGATTTCACAGATTCTATTGAAATATCCTCTAGGTCAGAAAGACTACTCACTCATGTCCAGTCTACTAATACATCCATCAAAGGTATTCTTCATTTCTGTTATAGATAGCAATTTTTTTTTTAATCTCTAGCATTTCTTTTTGTTCTTTCTTAGAATTTCCATCTTCTGCTTACATTGCCCATCTGTTCTTGCGTGCTGTCTACTTTATCCATTAGAGTCCTCAGCATATTAATCATAATTTTAAATTCCCAGTCTGATAATTCCAACATCCTTGCCTTGTTTGGTTCTGTGCCTGCTCTGTGTCTTTAAATTTTGTGGGGTTTTTTTTTTGTTTGTTTGTTTTTTGTTTTTGCCTTTTGGTATTCCTTGTAATTTATTCTTTATGGAACATAAAGAATAATGTGCTGGGTAAAATGACCTGCCGTAAATAGGCCTTTAGTAATGTGGTGGTGAGGTGTGGGTAAAGGGAAAGTGTTCTATAGTCCTTTGATTATGTCTCACTCTTTTAGTGAGACTGTGAACTTCACAAGAGTTTCTTCAACCCCCTTAGGTAGGACAGGATGGCTAGAGTGGCCTAGAGTTGAGTATTTCCCTTCCCTGGATCACTTAGGCTCTGGTAACACCCCAGCAGATTAACTAGTTTCCTTTGAGGGCAGGTCTTGAGAAGAACAGAGTGCTCACAAATATTTCAAAATGTCTTCCCCTCCCTTACAGGAAGCACAGAAGCCTGAGGGGATTTTTCTCCAGTATTGACTGTGGGAACCTGATGGAGCCCCTGGAGGCAAATATCACAATATTGTGGGCCTCCCTCATGACTGAGTTCCCTGGAGTTTTTAACTCTCTGATTTGTCACTGAGTCTCTGTCAATTTGTCAGTCACAGTTCAGGTTTTTATTCCATGGCCTTGGTTCCCACAGCATTTTCTCTGTTCGAAGAAGCCAGGACTCCCTCTTCCCTCAGGTAAGCCATGACTTCCTGGATTCTCCTGTCACTCTGGGGGCAGTGGTTTGCCTTGTGTCCTCTCCTCTCTCTTATAAATTCAAGAAGAGGGTTTTTTTTTTGTTTTTTTTTTTTGTTTTTTTTCAATCTGTTCAGAACATTACTTGCTGTTGGGATGGAGTGGTGACATCCAAGCTCCTTACATGCAGAACTGGAAATTACAAGTCAGAAAACTTTTAAAAATAAAAAAAAAATTAAGAAAGAGTGAAAGAAATAAAAAGGAGTCAAGACAAAGTGCCAAATATTGGAGTAGGCAAAGAAGATTGAACACGCATTTGGTAGGAAATCACAAAGAAAATCAAAGCAAGGCAACTGTACTATAAAAATAATTCAAGAAAACTTTTCTGAGGTAAATATTGAAGCTACAAAAAGAAAAAGCATACTGCATATTGACAGTATGACTAACACCAAGAAAAGGAAAAAATCCAGATGCTTTGAGCACCTAGAAGAAAAAGTATATATGACTTATGAGGCAAAAAATTAGTTTATCATTACACTTCTCAATAGCAGTGCTTTATTAGGGGAGGGAGAATGAAACAACATTTAAAAGAAGGAAAGAAAGTGAGCCAAGGATTTCATACCCAACAAAGCTTAACTTTCATATAAAGGGTACAGATAGTTATCAACATGCAAGTCTTCAAGGGAGTGTTGTTTCCATGAGCTCTTCCTGAGAAATGTAGTAGAGTAGGGACTGTAGATGACTGAAGCTGTGAGAAAGATACCAGCATAAGAACTTAAGCATTAAATAATAGTTTCTGTAGAACTAGGGCTAAAGGAGGGCCAAAGGGAAGAGCATCGTGTATAATGGCTGTGTGCTCTGACGGTGTTGATGTAGTAGAACTATTCTCTCTCTCTCTCTCTCTCTCTCTCTCTCTCCCCCCCCCCCCCCCCCCCCCCCCCCCCCACTCCCCGCCCCCCCCACGTCACCC